CGACCTCGGAAGGATGGAAGGCTGAGTCCACCTTGAGCCGGCTACCTGGGATTTGAACCCCAGGTCGTGAGCACAGTTTTACCTTGCAGTACAGCGTTTTAACCACTGCGCCACGAGGCTCATTATATGGCTTCCTTTAGGGCAGGCTTGTCCATCTTGTATTTGGATTTCCTCTTTTCCTGCTGTCTCCAAGATTTCACTGCGTTACTGTCATTTCCAGGAGGTTTGGCCTCCTCGTGAGGTGCCCAAAGAACAAGCCTCTTTTTTTTCTAGGGGAAGTTCAGGTTGGATTTGATCTTGGACCCACTTGTTTCTCTTTCTGGTGGTTTGAAGTATCCCTAAAAGCTCTGCTCTTAGCGCTCCATTTCAGACAAGTCAATTTTTCCCTGTTGATTTTGTTAACCATTTCTCTCTCTCTCTCTCTCTCTCTCTCTGGTTCATATATTTAAACTAACCAGAAACAAAGTCACCAGTTTCAACATGTCAGAGAGAAATTATTATGTTAAGCGATCCCAGAGGGCTGTCAAATCTCCTGTCCTCAATTTCCCACTTAGGATGCTTGTTCTGAGCTTATTTCAAACACTTCTTAAGGACTGAAATATCACACTTTTAGGTGGGAAGGAAAAAAAAGAAATCACACAGGCCATCATTTCCTGTAGTCTAAAGTGGGCTCCCCATGGGGTGGAAAGAAAGCTGGCAGGGTGGCAGGGAAGGATCTTTTTCGGTACAAGCAGCACAGCTCCTCCATTGCCCCACCCCACCCTGCTCACCAGGGAATCGTGGCAAAACCAGGAGGAAGAAGAAGAGGAACCACTGTACTTGGGCCTTGGCTGCACCTGATGCACCGTCTGGGATTGTGTCGCTTTGTGATGTCCCAGAAAATGCCTGCCATGCAGATGCAAAACAGCCAAGTTTGGAAAAAATCCTTGCATTTACGGGATACGGGCTGACTTGATACGGTCAATAACAGGCAGCTGTGGTACCAGATTTTCTTTTTTGTAATGTCTCTGAACCACATGTTGGGCCCTTTTTGTGCCTCTGAAACTTCTAAAATCTAGCGACCCAGGAAAAAAATTCCATGTGTGTTCCCCACTGTCCATGACCTTCCTCGCGATAATTCCTCCTTCCCTTGTTACTGTCGCTGAAGTCACCCTTTAAGGAAGCTTCTTGGTCATTTTTCCTTTGTCTTGTTTAGCAACGCTTGTAAACAGGCCCTCTGTTTTTCTTCTTCTTCATCTTCTCTTTGTAGTTTTCGATCTACAAAAAACCAAAATTCTTTTCATTGGTTTTGCTAGCACTCCTCTTCCTGATCCTTTTTTTTAATGATCCTTGTGATCCCACTCAAAAGGGGCACCTTAAGCCCTTAACTACTAAGTCCCACTCTCCAGTAGCTGCTCTCAGGGCTTGAACTGCTTTTGTGAAAGCCACCAGGCCTGATCCTGGCAAAATTTGTGAAAACGTCACCAGAGCTGCCTTAAAAAATTGGCAGTCTCACCTCAAGGAAAGATCACGGGAAGCTATTGATGCCATTGCTGAATGATTGCATATCCAAGGTTTCCATCTGCAAAACACCACCCAAGCAGGTTGTGGTGGGCTGGATGCAGGCAGGGCCACCCTCCGTTCAAGCCACTCAGGGAAGCTAATCCGCCTGCTTCAACATCAAGATGAAGTTCAGCCAGCTTGGTTTTGCTAGCACTCCTCTTCCTCAGCATCAGTGGTCCAGAAACCAAATGACCTTGGTATCCAAAAAAAAAAAAAAAGGAAAGGGAAAGAGCAGACACCATCATTCCTGCTCCAGAAAAGCCTGCATCCTTTCTTCTGAAAGTGATCTCAGATTTCCGACCTTTGATCTTGCCCACCTTCTTTCTGTCACCCAGTTATGGAATTGGAAAAAAAAGCATCGATGTGTGCGGAGCCCTTGATTTCTCCATCTCCAGAAGGAAGCTGTTTTGAAAGGCTGATAAGACTTTTCATCTAAGACCAAAGAAGGCGTCAGCCAGTATCATCTCAACCTAGGTCAACGTGGATCATGGAGGCCGTCATTTTGGCTTATCCGTTTGCAAACCACTCACTACCGAGCTTCATTCCATGAGAGCAGTGGAGGCTGCACAGCCGTGGTTCCTCACCTTGGGTCACCCAGGTGTTCTTGGATTGCAACTCCCTGACCCCTTCACCCCTGGCTGTGACTGCCAGGAGCTCTGGAAGATTTTAGTCGAAGGACATTCGGGGACCCAAGGTTGGGAACCGCTGCTTTAGAAGCATTCCTCTCAAGTTGTCCAGTTGCGGGAGGCCCATAAATCAGTCACACAGTTGTCAGCCATGGCCTTCCTTCCAACACGTTCCTCAAACAGGCTTGATGTTTGAGCAAAAATCGATGTTTCTTTTGGCCGAGCTGTTTCCTCCTCTGGGCTGGTGTGACTGCCCTCCAGCTAGCCCAGGGGTGGGCAATTAATTTCTATAGGGGACCACGTAAAAATCTGAACTGCGTTCGGGGGCCGAACCAAAACGAAACAGTGATATTATGATTGTTTTTATTTTAAACTTGTTAATCTTCACAAATACTAAAGAGGTTTTTTGCGGTATGTTAAAGATAAGCAACTGATCAAGTTTAGACAAAAAGCTATAAATGGTTTTGATGTTCAAAACTGTCCACGGGCCGTAAAGGAGCAGTTTGCGGGCCGTACTTTTTACTCTGAGCTAGCCAGTGGGCTTCCTAGCCACCCAGTGTGCGATTCGTAGGCAACAAGGAAAGGCAGCAGGTTACTTACCCATCACTGTGGTTCTTGGAGTGGCCGTCTGTGAATGCACACCACCTTCCCTGCCTCCCTGCTGTCTGTCACCTAATTTATTTTGTGTTCAGAGGTGGCTTGTGGGGGGTCGGGGGGGGAGGATTTGAAAGGGGTGCACAGGAGGGCCGTATGGGTGGAGGGTTA